TCGTTGTCAACCTTACTCCTGTTAGGATTGACTAGGACTTGTTGTGGGGCCTTTTCTTTATCTGAAGGAGTGGATGATGATGTTTCGACAGGTAAGGGCCTCCTATCAGATCATCTCCGCTTTCATCGACATGTTAATGAATTCTTGCAATGTCCAAATATTCTAAAATCTAATTCTATTTTGAATGGCCACCTTCAAACTACTGATATACTAGATTACCCTTTGATTTTCAAATTTTCACAGATTATTCCGATCCTTCAATCGCATAAATTCATTGGTGTAGTCTAACACTGTACGATTGCTCTGTGTGCATCCCAGGTACACACAATATAAAACTTGTTCATAATCTGAAGGTAAAAATCGATCCATCAAAGATTGTTTCATCTTTCTTCAAGTTCGAATCCGACTCTTTCTCTGTCTCATTCGAGCATTCTGTAATTGATTCTATCATACTGCTACCACAGATTTTAAATAGAATTCCACTATTTTAATCATCTTGTCTTCTAAATCATCCGAATCTTTTAACATCTACCAACCATGTAACGCCCCAAATTTTATAAACGTTGAAGTGTTACGAAAAACTCAATTTCCTTTATAATAATTGTGGAACAATTTTTCAATAAAGAAAATTCTTTATTTCCAACCATAAATATCAAGTTAAAATAAACAAACGAGTTTTTGAATAAATAAAACTAACAAATAATTTGGAAACATAAAAAAAAAACAAATTAAATGTTAAATTTCTTTTTTCCTTTCTTCGATTCACTTGGCAGTCCGTATCATCACCCTGCCACAATTACAATCGACCCGAACTAATCTGTAAAAATTTGTAAGAGTGAGTATTAGAAAAAACCCAGTAAAATATGTGCAGTTTCCATACACAGATATATAACAATAAAATCTACATTTCATACCGCTCTGCTCTTATGGAGTATATCGAAGACTAAACGACACACCCATCTTAGGTCCTCTTATATCTCGTAGTATCTCATTTCTCTTTTTATAGAATACGAAGGTCCACTAGCAATCCATACATATTTAATTGCATATTAAAGCATATAGAAATGAAAACAATTTGCGCATATATATCTTACCTCGTTTATTTAAGAGTTGCAAAATTGTTTCTTATCTTTTAGTTCCCAAAAGTACCCATCTCTCTCTCTCTCTCTCTTGGTGTGTAAGTTATGGAATCCATGTATAGTATTTATAGCAATAAAAAATGGTTAAGTTATACTAAAAAACATGTACCCTATTGGATAAAACCTAGTTTAGATATTTGAATTATATTTTAATAATAAATTCATAATTATCCAAATAGGATACTAGCTATCACATTAAATTCAAAATAGGTTAATATTAAACTAAAAATAATATTAAAATTCAATATCCACCCACACGTTTTTGGAGAGAGAAAATGAATTGAATTATAACTTAAATAAAGTTTTATATATCCTCTTTTCTTTCAGTTGAGTCTAACTTAATGTGTTCTTATCCAAAATATCTTTTTCTCGAGTCAAAGACTTTTAATTAATTACAACCTATAAAATGAGTTCAATATCGATATACTAAATCTCGCTCTAACAATATCTAATTATTTGGATCAAATAAAATAGGAATTTAAAACATTTTTCATTTTAGTCCTCAACTTAAAAAAATGTAAATATATAATATATAAAATAAATAAATTTTATTCTAAAATTTTTGAGGCATTACAAACCGATTCAAGAAGTCCTCGATCTTCATGTTTCCAAAAAACAGAGGAATGTCTGCTTTAATCCGATAATCATCAAAGGTTTTTTTTTTTTTTTTTTAATTTTGATGATTAGGATTATGCGACGGTACTTCAAACTCCTCATCTGCCTCTGATTCACTTTCTTTTTATTCACGCCTCCTATTACTTTCTCTTTAAACTACAGGCTCACTATCTGTTTATTGTTGATTGCCCACTATTCATTCTGCCCATTGTTTTCAGCACCCCATAGAATCAATTGATGAATCTCTTCGATCTGAGTAGTAAGATCATCAATCCATCGATTTGTTGCTTCCAAACCTACCATAGTAACCGGTACGTCACCCATGTTTATGAATCCAATATATAGAGATGGGAAAGTCAACTCTGATACCACTTGACGCAGTGCAAAAAAAGAAATTTAAGCGAAAACCTTAAAAACACAAAATTTGGAATCCACCAAAGTATAAAGAAAATAAACTCACAAATTTATTAATGAATGATAATCAAAGCAATGAAATAACCCCTTATTTATAAGGGTTTACATGAAAACGTAATTTAAAATAACTAAAATTAATAAAAACAAAGTTTAAACAAACTAAAATTAAAAAGAATCCAAAATGAACTAAATAACAGAAATAGCACAAAAAGTTACAAAATTAATTTTCGAGTCATAAACAAACTCGAATGACCAAAATCCATCGTATATCATAACGTAGCTATGAGTATTGCTCGTCTTGTCGTCTTCTTTTTAGAATAGTTTTATGAGCCCAATTCAAAACTCGGATGTTTTCTCTCTACTATTACCTTCTCCCCATTTTTATTCAATTATTTTTCTACAGGAAAATTGCAGTAGGGGTACCAAACCTTTCGTTTATTAGCAGATTTTATCCAAACCTTTAGTTTGTGCCACCATGAGTATCAAACCTTTGAAAAACTCGCACCTAGAGTCCAAATAGATGATTTATGTTAATTTAACTATTAGTTGACGTTAATTTAACTATTCGTTGACTCAAGAAATTGATTTTCACCAATTTTTAAGGGGGTAGAATGGTAACTTTGAAATAAAAATAAAACAAAACATAAACTCTAGGGGAATGGGCGTTTTAGGGCGGGATCTAAAAGCTCTCCAACGTGTTGCGGAGCCTTCGGCCGTGAGAGGGTCTTTTGGCTTCCTCAGGGCCGTGTGAAGCTTAACTTGCTTTAGCAGCCATGTGATGATTCAAGTTCGTGGTAGCCATAGTAGCTGGGCGAAGCGGTAGTGAAGCTCAGGTGGTAATGCAAGTGCGCGGTGAGCGTAGTAGCCCCCTCGGGCATGCTCTTTGTCCGAGACAACTACTCTTTAAAGGCAGTGTTCTGCATCAACAAGAGCAGGCACATGGGCAGAGACTAAACCTCTTTCCTTTGGCTCGAATCCTAGCTTTCCCCCTTTCGACTAAAAAACCTTTGGCCTGACTCATCCCCCCTCCTGTCCCCCTCGGGGGGAGGAGCTAAGGAACTGCCCCTTATTCAATTCAATAGGATTGAATTGAGGGGCAGGAGAGCTACAGCGAAGGGCTTCCCCGTACTCCATTCCATCGGATGGAATGCGGGGAAGGATGAAGCGGTACTGGCCCTTACTCAATTCATACTGAATTGCGGGCCAGAGAGGAAAGGAACCGAGCCTGTCTCCATTCCTTCCTTTGGTCGGAATGGTCGGCTCAGGAGGAGCAGCTAAGGAACTGCCCCTTATTCAATTCAAGGGGGATCCTCCGTATCTCCTTCTTCTTTCCGTGTCCGCCCTCGCGGGACAACAAAGAAAAAATCCAGCTCTTCTCCTTCTGAAGGGCCGAACCCCCGGAGTCTGAAAAAAAAATCCCTTGTCCTAAGAACCAAATTCCCCCGTATGGAGCCACCTTCTTCACCCCGGCATCCCTACTTCCTTATTTCTAGATCTACGGCACTGGGACAGCTAGTTGAAGACACATCTTATAGCTGGGCGNNNNTAAGAAAAAAAAACTTTTTGGGGGGGGGGGGGGGGGGGAGATATATATGAGGGATATATCTCCTGAGGAAAATCACTACTAAAATATCATGGGCTTACGAATTCAAGTGTAACTACGTTTTCAGGAAGTAGCTTTCCAACTCTTGTCCAGTAACCATTCTGAGTGGGGATCAATAAAAAGAGAAAAGTCAGTCCACCCCTACCCCAAAAAATAAAAAGTACCTTTCATCACCCCTATCCCTCCACCCTAAATTAACGCACCCCATATTCATCATCCCTTCCAAATCAAAGAGATATACTAAGTAGTATTTTAGCTCTCACAAACCAAGTAAGGAAAGGCCCACTTCGACCACCGGTGAATCACAATGGATGGAAGAACAATATTTTGGTTGCCAATTGCAATTGACGGAACAGTCAACTCACTTCTTCAAGGATCGAATTACGAGGTAATTGAGCAGCAACTGGATCAATTAATTGTGTACCCACAGTCGTTTGAGTATGAATATGAGTTCTCGTAGGTGAATTTGTGGATTGAACAATGAGAAAACCATCAGTTGGATTGGATATAAGTGCCCTTATTCGCACGCATTGGATGTAAAATCCCAAAAAATACATTGATGTTTTGGCCCTATTTTGTTGAATCATCACTATCATATTGAGTGTCTGTGGTGTACATGTCTACTGGTGGTGGTCTAAAATGGTGGGTGTGGCCGTAAGGTGTGTTTCCGCCACCATATATTACATTGACTTGGAAATTCTTGATGGGAATGAAATGGTTTCTTAATTGGTTTGATAATGGTTTGTGATTTGGGATGATGAAATTGATGATAAGATGAGTTTTGTAGTGGAAGCGGCTGGCGACGGGACGTGACGACGATAATGACGGCGATTGTGGTGTTGGATTAAGTTGGGATCGGGTATCAAGGAGATGGTGAACAATGGGGGTGGGAAAGAGAAGATGAACATTTATATGCTTTTGTTTTTTGTTTTTCTTGTTTTTTGTTTTTAAGTTTAATTCAAAGTTACAATTTTACCCTTTTTAAAATTGGTCAAAGTCAATTTATTGGGTCATCTAACGGTCAAACAGACGAAAACCGTCATTTTAGTCTTGAGCTGCATATTTTTTAAACGTTTGGTACTCACGGTGATACAAACTAAAAGTTTGGACAAAGTTTGCTAATAAACGAAATATTTGGTACCGCTGCTGCAATTTTCCCTTTTTCTATCTATTAGGTTGTTGGAATATATTCTTTAAAAATGGAAAAGTCTCTTGGTCCACGGCCAGGATCCAGGCTAATTTCATACCGTAGGTGGACCGCGTAACAGCTAATCATTGCCAAAAACGCTTACCGAATCACGCATGCGGCATGGCGAGACACGGGGCACAATATTTCCATACCACCAATCGCCATAACCGCCGCCGTGTTCCGCCACCTTCTCGGCAAATCCACCACCGCAGAATTTCTCGAAAATATGGATGGAGTGGGAGCTAGGCTCGGGCGGTCCTCGGCTCGATACGCTCCTGCCACGATTTTCACCGGGCCCGTTCGGAAATGGAAGAAGAAGTGGATCCATGTAGCCCCTTCCAATTCCAATCAAACGGAAGCTAATGGAAAAGTTAACGGCGTCAATGTCTCTTCACGTCTCTTGCTTTACAAATGGACTCCGATCACTCCCAGCCAAAACAAAGAGAATAACGGAAATGACGGGAACCCTGACATTAGAGACGATGACGTTACAGTGGAAGAGCCACCCAAGCGTAAATTTAAGTACATTCCGGTACTTATCTCTATTTTTATTTCTTCTTGATTTAAGTTCAATTTCCTTCGCGATTAGATTATAGATAAAATGTATGTATTTGTATGCGGTGGTGGGTTGGGTATGGATGTGGCGCCTGGAGTGTTGAATTTAAGTGAGGATTGAATTGTTTGTATATAAAATTATTGGTAATATTTATTTTTAAACGGTGCACTGTGGTTTTGGGTTCTTGAACTGGATTAAAAGTGAATGGCGGTGCACGGTTTTATTTTCAAATTAGAATCTGGGAATTCTGGAATTGAAAGATCATGACAGTTGCCCGGGATGGAAGGTTTAATATCTGTTCTTCGCATACGCCATTTGGTAATCTCTGAGGGTAATTTTTGGAAACTTTCTGGAGTGGGCTTGGGGAAGCAAAACCTGATTTTCTTCAGGTCTAATTAAAAATTTGAACTTCTAGAAGGGATTGATAGTTTTTGGATACTGATGGGGGAATGTAAAATTAGCCCTTTTTTCTTCCAGTTAGTGTTAATCTTGACGGTGAAGTCGCAAATAAAATTAAACTTAAAGAGAACATAATAGTAAAGTTAGAAGGCTTTGATTGTAGCACAACATTCTTGTAATTGGTTTTTGGGATATTCGACTCTGGGACGTATATATCAAGGAATCCAGTGTTTGAAATTTGAGATAATTTTTTGTGTTAGAAGATATTGGTTCAAAATGGCAAAGGAATCAAATTTTATTGTTTTAAATAATAATGAATGGGATACACCTAGAGGCTATAAACAATATGAATTATGAAATACACATTTTGGTGTGTGCATCTGTGTCTTCAAATGTGTGTGTACCATGCTTCATGCATGTATGGAAAGCCTCAGTTTTACTGATTTTTTTTTTTTATTATTATTATTATTTTCACTCCAATTCAAGGACACCTAATTCTATATCTTCTTGTATTTTTTCTTTGAATAGAATTCTTAGTCCGTAAAGGAAACTACAGATTGTAAAAATGGAATGCAACACCCCCCCCCCCCCCCCCCCCCCCCCCCCCCCCCCCCCCCCCC